GCCATATCATTGCCAGCAAATGCAGTAAAATTTGGACTGTATTCTGGCTTCACATTAAAAAAAAAATTTGCACACTCTGGTCTCAAACCAAAGGCGTATTAAACAGCGGTCTTTCGTTTATGCGACTGACTGATAAAAATGCGAAGAGGAGAGGTGCTGCGAAAAATATCCTATGACAATAGTTATTTACTATAATAAAGTCGGCTGGATAGCACTGTTGCACCATGGAAATGCGCGTAGCTCCAGCGTGCATGATTATTGATTTATTGCATGATGCCCAGTCAGTTTCCGGTGAGTGGTCGTTAATCGAAATCAGTGACGATAAGCACCGGGCGGACCCGTGCGATCATGCGTTTTCGCAGTATTCCGTGCTGTAGTAAGGCCGCTCGGTAAACCCAGCAGCTAGAATTTATAACATGCTGGTCCTCGTATGGGAAGTTAATAGTGCATCTATGTGGTACTTGGACAAGGAACATCCGTTAAAATTTCAACTTTTCAACTTTTCTCTTAGCAATTTTCACGCCAAAACTTCCAAAGGTCCGAAAGTGACCTGGGGCTGAGTTTGATAAATTTAAGTTGCACATGGGCTATCCCTTTAAATTTCAACCTCCCAGTTTTCCTGGCTCCTAAGCTAGCGGTTTTCTCGCCAGAGACCCTCATGGAGCCGTACGCAGGAACCACGCACACCTGGGGACTGAATCTGAAATCTTTGAGTTCTATGTGGATGGGGGCGTAACCTCAAAATTTCAGCTTTCTAGCTTCCTGGTTCCCGAGTCAGCGGTTTTCCTGTCAAAATTTTCACGTGCTCGTGCGCGGGGCCCAAACGAGCGTGAAGGTCGGCACCTTTTGGTCCTGGGATGGCACTTGGCCGGAAACTCACTGGCATAATTTAAGTGCCAGAACTTGCTTTGTTGCCTAGTTGAGATGCCCAGACAGACGCACACACAACATACAACACAAACGTACGCATGCACACACGCACGGGGGCGTCATAATGCGTTTTTGCTTTTGCATATATGCAAGAATTCATAAAAAGGGAGCAAGCAAAAGTAATAAAGTGCCACTTAATTTTG